CTTGTATGTCCTGCCAGTGCAAGGAGGACCTGGTCTCCACACCAGGCAGGTATAGGCCCTTCAACTGTTTCAGGAAGATGAAGATGGAGAGAAAAACAAAAATGAAGAAAACAGTACAGGCTGACAGGCAAATGGATCTTGTGGATTCAGTTCCGTCTGAGCTGGCTCCTCCTCTTCTGGGGAATTTGGTTGGTCAGGTCTAGGGGACACAGGGTACCATGGCCCCTGCCCCAGTGCTAAAGCACTAGACTGAAAAACCTGGCAGCGCTTTCTCTGGGGATCATCAGTGTACTCAGGCCAGTAGGTGTCCATATTGCAGTGGCTGCCCACTGACATACTGCTCCAGCGGTCCAAAGTCCCACGGTGCACCTACTGCTTGTCACAAAGTTGGAATCACACAGTCCACCTCTCGCTTCGGGCCTCTACAGATTGCACCAGGCCTTCACCCAACACAGCAAAGTCCTCCAAGATTGCTTCTATGTTGGGCACCATCACAAGCTCCCCACCTCGAGACACCACCATGTGCCCCTTTATGTTGGAGGCCTGAAGAATCAGAGAATAAATCTGAGTTGAAGTGTCACGAAAGCACACACTGAGATGCAAGGTTGGGGGCAGTGTAGACCCAGGCCCACACAGAAGTGCATACCCATAGAGAACCACACGTACACACCCAGCAACACGTGACCGTCACCGACCAACATACCTTAAAGGGCTGGGGCTGGAAGCTGGTGGGCTTCCAGAGGACACCGATCACCTCCCCACCATGCTGGTCATAGAAGAAAAGTGCCAGATCTCCAAAGGCCTCCTGGATGGGACAGAACACAAGCAAGATTACAACGGGCACCTAGGACCTCCTCCATGGCTCTAGCTCCACTGAACACTCCCTAGGCCAACCAGTCCTTCAGAACTTACCCTGAGCTGTGCCAAATAGAGCTGAGGGGGATCATAGCCTAGGACAGGCATCAGAGATGAAGGCCCTGGCTCACTGAGCAGACCACGGCAGAAGGAAGCAGCCGGAGGGTCCACAGCCTGACGGTGCCGGGGAATGTGGCGGGGAGTCAGGTGAATCAGTACATCGTACACGTCGAAGGGTGGCCGGAACACTGTCTAAGGAAGTCTTTAAGTTACCCTTCCACGTACCTTATTCCCATGCCATCTGGCCATTCCATTATGGGCTTGTGCGCCCACAGGAAGGTGACAACAGCAAACCCCACAGAGGAAAGCGGCCAGGACGAGCTGGAGCCCAGAAGTGAAAGGATACCCAGGATTTCCACCAGGCTCCACCACTGCCAGGCATCATGGCAGCTTCAAAGCCTTCTCTGTACTGTCTCAGCAAACAGAGCAACTGGATACCCAAAGAAGCCCTTGAATGGTTGACTTCCAGCCGTAGGAGTAACCCTGAGTCTGATGCTTACCCTAATGTCCCCAGGCCCCCGGGGATCCATCAGCTGCTTCTCTAGGACCGGGAGGGCCTCAGCAGCCAGAATCACAAGCTGCTGAAGGATCTAGGACACAAAAGTCACAAGATTGACTATACTTCTCCTGTTAGAGACTGGGCCTTTCTTCTTAGTATAAAAAAATAAATGCATTTAGGGACAGGTATGGAGTTGAACCTGGGCAGAAGGTCTATCCTGCGTCCACACAGAGCTTCTGCGGTCCTGGGGGGTAATGATGACCATGACTGGGAGTTGTGTCCGTGCTGCCAGGAAACTACTCCGAATTTCTACCTGGTCCTCAGCTAGAGATGACAGTAGATGCTACATCAGCCTCCCCAAAATACCTTTACTGCACCCCCCAGGTCCTCCCACTGTGTAACCAGCAACTGCCCATCACAGGGATTTTCCAATACCCCTCTCCCAAAGGACAAAGGTTACAAAGGGGACACCACATGGGCCTTAACGGGGTGGGGTGTTAATCTCCCAGCTTCAGCCCAGAGGCAAAGTTTTCCACTGCTTGTCACCCCCAGACTAGTCTCTGGCTTGCACAAGCTGAGGCCTGCCCAAGGCCCCCCTCATCCTGGGCTCTCACACACCTGGAGAATTAGGAACCCGACACCCTGCTCTCTGCTGAGACCCAGAGCTCCTAAGATTACAATGGGAAATCAACAATCCCACCCGCAAGGTGTGGGCAGCTAGTCTAACTTCCTGCCCCCCCCATCCCCACAAGACCTCTCACCTTGTAGACAAGAAAACTTCCTCCTCTCTCCTCTCCACAGCCCCCGGTGGCTTGCTCACCATCCCAGTCCATTTTGTCATGGACCACCGCACAGGCAAAGCTCTCTAAGCCAGACTTGATACAGGCCTCTTCCTCCTGACAATTCTCTTCCCCAAGACAGTTAGGCTTAGACATCTGGGATGCAGGAGGCTTCCCTGACAGAATTCCAGGGAGACCTCGCCTGCCTTACTGTGCCATCTATAAAGGGGAGTTCTTCCAGTGGTCTGACCTGAGTCCTACCACCTACCAGTCAGTTCACTGTTGAGGTTGACAATGAGAGGGTTGTTCTTCCAATCAAAGGTAGACACCAGGTAAAGGAACCGAAGAAAGCCAACCTGAGGGGAGCTTAGTAGACAGAATGAGGAAGAATCTGAGGCCTGATGTCCCCAGCAAGCTTCCCATAATCCCTTAGTGTAGATTGTGGGTGGACTAGGTATCTGAGAATGTCCTCTATCAGTAATCAGCACCCTCCCCCATTTAGAGGAAGAACTGCATCAGGAAGGGCAACTTCCCTAGGTAAGGGAAATGTTGGAGGAATTACCTGGGAGGGGTGAAGGGTTCAGAGTGCAGGAAGAGGGCAGCAGCCACCAGATCCAGGCTCTCATCAGTGAATCCCTCGCCCAAGAGCTGGGCACGTACCCACCGCTTGGCCAGGCGAGCCACACCTGAGAAGGCTGGGTGCTGCTGCTGGAGTCTGGGAGAAGAGGGAATGGCAGTGAACTCAGAGCCCCAGTGTCAGCCCCCACTGCCAGTGTCTCTCTGCTGGCCAACACTGGCCTCTGTGAGAATGTGCTACAGATGTCATTGCACCGTCTCCTAGCAAACACCTGAGAGACTGTTACTAATGTTACTACCGTTTTACAAATGAGATATTATGTTATCTAGCCTCCCAGAGAGCCTGTTAGCCAGGAGAGCAGAATGGGGGCAGAAGCTGTAC